CCTGTTTGGGTTATTTTGGTACCTGGGGGGTTTTAACGGGGGGATGCTCATTCCTGGATCCGTAATTTTGATGGGGTTTTGGTACCTGAATCCATCTCTGAGGGGGTTTTTGAGGGAAATTTCTCCATTTTTAGGTAGGACTGATTCATTTTTGCTCACCTGCCCAGGTACGCAGTGTACCGCGCTTTTGGGTGGCTTTTTGTCATACCTGGGTCCATTTTTGAGTGGATTTTTCCCATTTTTGGGTGGAATTTTCCTGGTTTTTGCAGGTACGCGGCGTACCGCACCCCGGGGTCCATTTTTGGGTGGATTTTTCCCATTTTTGGGTGGATTTTTCCCATTTTTGGGTGGATTTTTCCCATTTTTAAGTAGATTTTTCTGTTTTTTGGGTGTTTTTTTCCCATTTTTGTGCATAATTTCCCCGTTTTTTCGCAGGTACACGGCGTACCGCACCCCTGGGTCCATTTTTGGGTGGATTTTTCCCATTTCCGTGTATAATTTCCCATTTTCCACAGGTACGCAGCGTACCGGACCCCGCAGCTGCCGCAGTTCCGCACGCAGTACGTGCGCCGGCGCTCTCAGCTGCCGCAGTTGGGTCCATTTTGGGTGGATTTTTCCCATTTTTGGGTGGATTTTTCCCATTTTTAAGTAGATTTTCCTGTTTTTTTGGGTGGATTTTTCCCATTTTTGGGTGGATTTTTCCCCTTTTTGAGTGGTTTTTTTTCTCATTTTTCCCATTTTGGAGTGGAATTGTTCCCATTTTTTCCATTTCCATGTATAATTTCCCATTTTTCACAGGTACGCGGCGTACCGCACCCCTCAGCTGCCCCAGTTCCGCACGCCTGGGTCCATTTTTGGGTGGATTTTTCCCATTTTTAAGCAGATTTTTCTGGTTTTTGAGTGTTTTTTTCCCATTTCCATGTATAATTTCCCATTTTTCACAGGTACGCAGCGTACCGCACCAGACAGCTGCCGCAGTTCCGCACGCAGTACGTGCGCCGGCGCTCTCAGCTGCTGCAGTTGGGTCCATTTTGGGTGGATTTTTCCCATTTTGGGGTGGATTTTTCTGGTTTTTGGGTGGAATTTTCCCCATTTTTGAGTGTTTTTTCCCGTTTTTAATGTAATTTCCCATTTTTCGCAGGTACGCGGCGTAACGCACGCCACAGCTGCCGCAGTTGGGTCCATTTTTAGGTGGATTTTTCCCATTTTTGGGTGGATTTTTCCCATTTTTGGGTGTATTTTTCCCATTTTGGGTGGATTTTTCCCATTTTTCAGTGGATTTTTCCCATTTTTGGGTGTTTTTTCCCCATTTTTGTGTATAATTTCCCCGTTTTTTCACAGGTACGTGGCGTACCGCACGCCGCAGCTGCCCCAGTTGGGTCCATTTTGGGGTGGATTTTTTTCCCTTTTTGAGTGGAATTTTCCCATTTTTGGGTGGATTTTTCCCATTTTTGAGTAGAATTGTTTCCATTTTTCCCATTTTTAATGTAATTTCCCATTTTTCCGCAGGTACGCGGCGTACCGCACCCCTGGGTCCATTTTTGGGTGGATTTTTCCCATTTTTGGGTGGATTTTTCCCCTTTCTGAGTGGATTTTTCCCGTTTTTGGGTGGATTTTTCCCATTTCCGTGTATAATTTCCCATTTTTCACAGGTACGCAGCGTACCGCACGCCGCAGCTGCCGCAGCTCCGCACACCTGGGTCCATTTTTGGGTGGATTTTTCCCATTTTTGGGTGGATTTTTCCCATTTTTGAGTGTTTTTTCCCCATTTTTAATGTAATTTCCCATTTTCCACAGGTACGCGGTGTACCGCACGCCGCAGCTGCCGCAGTTCCACACCCCTGGGTCCATTTTTGGGTGGATTTTTCCCATTTTTAGTGGATTTTTCCCATTTTTGGGTAGAATTTTACCCCTTTTTGAGTGGAATCATTCCCATTTTCCCCGTTTTTAATGTAATTTCCCCATTTTTCGCAGGTATGCAGCATACCGGACCCCTCAGCTGCCGCAGTTCCGCACGCAGTACGTGCGCCGGCGCTCTCAGCTGCCGCAGTTGGGTCCATTTTTGGGTGGATTTTTCCCATTTTTGGGTGGATTTTTCCCCTTTTCGAGTGTTTTTTCCTCGTTTTTAATGAAATTTCCCTGTTTTTGCAGATATGCAGCGTACCGCACGCCGCAGCTGCCGCAGTTCCGCACGCAGTACGTGCGCCGGCGCTCTCAGCTGCCGCAGTTGGGTCCATTTTTGGGTGGATTTTTCCCATTTTTGGGTGGATTTTTCCCATTTTTAAGTAGATTTTTCCCATTTTTGAGTGTTTTTTCCCATTTCCGTGTGTAATTTCCCCATTTTTCGCAGGTATGCAGCATACCGGACCCCTCAGCTGCCGCAGTTCCGCACGCAGTACGTGCGCCGGCGCTCTCAGCTGCCGCAGTTGGGTCCATTTTTGGGTGGATTTTTCCCATTTTTGGGTGGATATTTCCCATTTTTTAATGTAATTTCCCATTTTTCACAGGTACGCAGCGTACCGCACGCCGCAGCTGCCGCAGTTGGGTCCATTTTTGGGTGGATTTTTCCCATTTTTAGTGGATTTTTCCCATTTTTGGGTAGAATTTTACCCCTTTTTGAGTGGAATCATTCCCATTTTCCCCGTTTTTAATGTAATTTCCCCATTTTTCGCAGGTATGCAGCATACCGGACCCCTCAGCTGCCGCAGTTCCGCACGCAGTACGTGCGCCGGCGCTCTCAGCTGCCGCAGTTGGGTCCATTTTTGGGTGGATTTTTCCCATTTTTGGGTGGATATTTCCCATTTTTTAATGTAATTTCCCATTTTTCACAGGTACGCAGCGTACCGCACGCCGCAGCTGCCGCAGTTGGGTCCATTTTTGGGTGGATTTTTCTGGTTTTTGGGTGGATTTTTCCCCTTTCTGTGTATAATTTCCCATTTTTCACAGGTATGCGGCGTACCGCACCCCGCAGCTGCCGCAGTTGGGTCCATTTTGGGTGGATTTTTCCCATTTTTGGGTGGATTTTTCTCCTTTTCGAGTGTTTTTTCCCCGTTTTTAATGTAATTTCCCATTTTTCACAGGTACGCAGCGTACCGCACGCCGCAGCTGCCGCAGTTCCGCACGCAGTACGTGCGCCGGCGCTCTCAGCTGCTGCGGGAGCGGGCTCAGGGCGGGCACCTGGCGGGCGATGCCCGGCGCTGGTACCTGCGGCTGCGGGCGCGGCTGCTGGCCCAACGGTACGGAGCATTGTCAGAGCCTGGAAGCTGCCGCAGCGCCCTCAGAGCCAGCAGGACCACGCTCGACCGCATGGAGGTACCTGGGGTATACCTGGGATACACCTGGGATACACCTGGGTACAGCTGGGATACACCTGGGTACACCTGGGGACACCTGGGACACACCTGGGATACACCTGGGGATACCTGGGATACACCTGGACACACCTGAGGGGGTGGGGGCACACCTGGGCACACCTGGGATACACCTGGGTACACCTGGGATAGGTACATGGGGTTTGGGATACACCTGGGAGTGTTTGAGACACACCTGGACACACCTGGGATACACCTGGGGACACCTGGGCACACCTGGGGGGTTTGGGACACCCCTGGCCCAGCGCTACGGGGCATTGTCAGAGCCTGGAAGCTGCCGCAGCGCCCTCAGAGCCAGCCGCACCACGCTGGATCGCATGGAGGTACCTGGAGGGGTCAGAAACACACCTGGGACACACCTGGACACACCTGAGAGGGTGGGGACACACCTGGGACACACCTAGGACACACCTGGGATACACCTGGGATACACCTGGGATACACCTGGGATACACCGGGGTGGTTTAGGAGACACCTGGAGGGGTTTGGGACACATCTGGGCACACCTGGGCACACGTGAGGGACTGGGGATACACTTGAGGGGGTTTGGGATATACCTGGGCACACCTGGGAGCGACTGGAGCATCCCAAAACTCCTTTGGGGGCGGTTCTGGGGGTCCTACTCCCATTCTTGGGGGTCCCACCTCCATTTTTGGGGCTCCCACCCCATTTCTGGGGGTCCTGGAGGGGCTCCTGCTTCCATTTTTAGGGGGTCTCACCCCAATTTTTGAGGCTCCCACCCCAATTTTTGGGGTCCTGTGGGGGTCCCACCCCATTTTTCAGGGATCCCGCCCCATTTTTGGGGTTTGCTTCCCATTTTTGGGGGTCCTG